TCTTCATCGGCACCGAGTTCTCCAACCTCCACTATCTGGTGCGGCAGCGCTCGAGACGGCCAGACCAGAGCGTACTGCATTTTGGAAGCCAGCCGCTGGCCCCAAAGGTACCGTCAGTACCGGCCGAGGTCCTCGAGCTCCCGCCCAAGGCCTTGGCTGATGAACTGGTCAAGGCATACTTTGCCCATGTCAACCGTGGCTTGCCCATCATTGACGAAGAAGACTTCATGAGGATTTACAATGGGACGGAGGGCAGCGGCCACGTCCCTCGATGCAGGCCACATTGCAGACCATTGTCCTTGTTGTTGCTCAATGCCGTCTTCCTCGTTGGGGCACGCGTTCTCGAAACGGGGAGAGAAGATATCAAGTCCCTCAGGTCCGTATTCTTTAGAAGGACCAAAGCCCTCTTTGACTGCCGTTTTGAGCAACATCGCGAGGTTTACTTGCAGGCCTCGCTCCTCCTGACATGGAAGTGCGACGACCTCGAAGACATTGTTTCCAACACTTGGCATTGGGTAGGTGTCGCGACGCGCACGGCATTCGGCATGGGCATGCATCGAGATGCGACACCCTCTAGTCTGAATGCCATGGATAAACGGCTGTGGGTTCGGCTGTGGTGGATTCTCTTTCAGTTCGATGTCATAGGATCTACATCCTACGGCCGGCCTCAAGCCATGCAAGTTGCTATTCCACACGCTCCAGATCTCCTACTTATGCTGACGGCGGATGATGACATTAGAAACCTTGACGAGTCAGACGTACCGCCACTAGAAGAGCAACATTTCGAGGGCATATTGAACGCAGAACACGACTTCACCATCCAGCACACACGTCTCTGCCTCATTTTCTCCAAAGCAATGCGGAAGAGGGTCGCCCTTCGATCCACCGCCGCAGATCGAGCCGCCGCAACCGCAGAAGCGGATGCTGCGCTGGCAGACTTGATAACACATCTTCCGGAAAAACTCCAAAACTCCAAATCTGACCCCAACCCATGGCAGGCAATGTTCCATCTCACGTATAATAACTTTCTGATTCTGCTTCACCGGCCTTCTCCCAGGCAAGACCCAGAGAGCCCCCCGTCTACATCAGACACCGACCTCAGCATATGTTGCGACGCAGCCATCACAATATGCTCCATTTTCGAGTCCATGCGGAATAGGAACTTACTGGCTAAGCTCTGGATACCAAGCATCCATGTGCTCTTTACCGCTCTAGTGCATGTATCGGATCAGATGCATTCCTCTAACCCGCTCATCGTGGCCAAGTCCAAACGCCTTTTTGACTCGCTGATAGCAACGTTGCATGCCCTCAAGGACCAGTGGTTGTACGCGCAGAGTCTCTTGGCGCTATTTGAGGGGCGGAATGTAGCAGGGCCCAGGCGGAATCGACTCCAGGCCACAGACTCTGCTGGGGAGGGTGATCTTCTCCGTCACGGTGGTGTCTCCGGTACGGCTCAACCCCAAGACAACATCGGAATTACAAATGGTGTTCTCAACGGCTCGATTGCAGGCTTGCCGGTCAGCAGCCAACCTGGACAGCCCGTACCGGCCTACTTGGCGCCCATCAATCTTGATCCAGCTGACCCAAGGCGCCTTGGGGCTCACCAACAAGATGCCGTTGTCGGGGACGTTGCTGCGAACAATCACATTTATGGCACGAGCTTTGTCGGAGATGATCTAGGCCTGGCTGGTGATGCTGATGACATGGACATGCTACAGGTGCCTTCGGCGTTGGAGTTGCTTCTCGCAGGCGTTGGCAATGATTTTGGCTTCCATTACTGATTCCGAGCTCAAATGCTCGCCCTCATGCCCTTGTTCAAAGAACGTGCGATGACCCTATCAAAGCTTCAGCAGGTCTCACCATTTGTGCCTCTTTTTGGCAGAAATCTGCTGTACCCGATAGTGATGCTCAGCTTGACCTCAATATACACACAATTTAGTTCATGGATCGGGTTAACCGAAAAGCTCTGGTCGTCTTGAGGGGAATTTGTTCATTTCTCTAAAGTATCTATGTCTAATTTCTCTCACCGTCTAGTCGAGACAATAGCTCACTTTTGGGAGCTTCATCAGCCCACGTCCTTCTCGGCAACTCAAAAGTAGACGACACTCGGCCATACGAGATGCCTCCCAGCTGGGCAATAGGCCTCAACTTGTCCAGTTCAATGTGGCTGGCATCGGCATTCGTCGCATCTTCCTGCACCCAGAACCGCGACGCCTTGATCAACACCATACCAGCCACGCTCTTCCCCTCCCCATCCGAGTGGTCGCTGAACTCCTTGATGTCGACGACCTTCCCCTCAATGGACAAAACAGACTCCCGCACGCGGGAGGGCCGCACCGTCGTCGAGGGCGCTTCACGCAGACCCGAGATGTCCCACTCCGACACTCCGTACGGGGCGTCGAGCGACGTCGCGTTGACGGCCTCGATCATGGTCTCGGACACCGTGTTTATGACGCACTCGCCCGACTCCTTGAGGTTGCGGTACGTGTCCTTGGACCGGCCGGCCCTCGCCGAGAAGCCGACCACGAACATGGGCGGGTCGTGGTCGACGACCTGGAAGTAGCTGAACGGGGCGAGGTTCTCTGTCGTGCCGTCGCCGGAGACGGTGCTGATGAACCCGACGGGCCGCGGCGCGATGCCGGAGATGAGCAGACGGTAGTTGTTGATGGCCGGCCTGTCCGCGGCGTAAGGATCGATTTCGAGGTGGTTCTGGGGCGTCGATCCCGGGACTCCGTCGCCGTACTGCCAGTCGGGGTTCGGGTGCTTGGTGACTTGGATCGGGGCATTAGACTTGTCGAAATCAGGTCGGCTTGCTTGTCTCTTGTCGAAGTCGTGGATCTTTTCTACTATTTGGCTGCTCGGAGCTGGTGGCGCCGACGTCGCCGCTGCTGCGGAGGAACTCATCCTGACGAGCGAAAATGGTGCCGCCTGAAATGACCCGGGTCGAGAGAAACGCGAGCTTGTCATTGTCAGTGTCGGTTCTCAGCAAGCACATAGAATGAGACACACCTCCGAATAACGCACCGTGCCACAGATCTTGCAACCATTGTTAAGCTTGGCAATTTTTCCAGCAAATCTTCAGCGAGCTCACTGCAGATCAAGTTCTTACGACGGAGTGATTTCGAAAGATTCAACTGAACTTAGTCCGGACGCAATCATCAGGTGAGAGCGGGAAGTTCGAAGACATCACGCAAAGTCGGGTGCGCGATCCCGACGGGTGTGGGGCCGGAAAGTGCTCTCCGACGCGGGCCCGGGGACCATGTCTCGGAACTTCACCCGAAGCTGTACTTATCTTCGGAGTGTTCGGCGACTGTGTTTATCAGAATGAACGCATCTGAGATCTACTGTCCGGAAGTTCAAACTTATGGGCTTGGTTGGAGATACGCCCGCGTAAAACCCAACTCGACTCCCTCAATGGGCATGGTTTTTGACATGCCTATTTCAGATTGGGGAAGCAAACAAGGGAAAAATCAAGAGAAAGAAAGTCATTCGAACATCCGAACTACAAAAAGGATCTGTAGGAGGTTAGCATGCTACAGGGCTGAAAGGGGGACAGCCTTAACCACTGCGGCATACACACTCAACAAGCGATCGGAGCCTCGTGACAGAACGGATGAGGAAACTGCCCTATTCACTCTCGGTGTGTGGTGAGATGCCTAAAGACAAGGAGAAAGGTGACATAATGCCCCACAATCGCTCACCTTCACTTTGGCAATCAGACAAGGGAAGGTGAGTGAATCCAGGACCTGGATTAGTTCAAAGAATGAAGTCAGAGTGTGCGGTGTGCTTCAGCCCAACGACCTTATGCCGTGGGGATTTTCTCAGATTGCCTAATATTATCTAGTGCTTGCAATCTTGACTTTTATGGCGGTATCCAAATACGACAGGCAGAGACTAATGAATCACCTAGGCTTGCTGATCTGGCGATGCCCGTTGATCACTGCTTCCGCAAACGTTCCTCGCGTCCCAGCTTTCTCTACCGTAATCAGCGACTGAATTGTTCCTCCATTTGGTGACGAGATCGCTTCCCTCATCGAAGCAGTCTGCTCTCCTTTCTCTAACATCGTCACCAGATCTTGTAATCCTTGAATCACCAAATCTCTGGCTTCAGACCTCTTAAGCCCCTCGGCAACAGCACCATCCAAGAGGCCATCTAGAGGCACCGAGATAGTGGCGATGCTGGCCGCAACTAGCATGGAACCGATATTTATCAAGTCAGGCGGCAAGACTCTCGACTTTCCAACGCGTGCGAAAATAGATTCCAAAACGTTTGTTTCCTGATCTGGCAGGTTGTCGGGAACTTCCAACACAGTCATCGACTGCCGATAGCGACACGCAACGGTGGGAAGAGCACGGGTGAAGTGTATGCACCTCTTGCTCTCCTTTTCAACGTCATTCGACAATGCCAGCTCGATGAGCTCTTTGACCGTCAGCCCTGCGAGCATGCTGACTACCAGCTTTCCCTCGAGCGCATCCAGGAAGCCCGGAGTTTCGAATACCCCCGCAACCATGTATGGTTTGAAGCCGAGTATGACGATGCCTGCTTCTTCAGCAGCCTTCACCGGCTCGCCGTGGATGACTTTGACGCGGCCGGCGTCCTCTCCCAGTGCCTCGGAAAGCATACCGGCCGATCTCGAAGTCTTTGTACATGCAATGAAACGGAATTCGTCTGGCTTTGTTACTTCTGAATTAGGCAATGCGCATGAATCGAGAAGCCCGCGGAGTAGAGCAGAGCCCATGGAGCCTGTCGTACATTCGTCAGCAATCTATCAGTTGAGATGATGAGTGACATACCGCAGCCGACGATAGCGATAGTCTGCTTCTCTGTTGCCATGGCGGATTGCTGCGTGTCGTGACTTTGGGCACAGTGTGGAGGTTTGCTTTTGACGTTCTGGACGCATCAGAATCGCCTTTATTCCAAAAATCCTGTTGATTTTAACTGTCGGGGCGCAGCGTATCTCCCGACACCCTCGGTAATTATGGATGAGGACCCGCAGGGATCAACTTCCGCCAGCGCCTCCTCCGAATCCGCAGTCCATCGCTGCCAAGAAGTCGGGCATGTCCAACTGATCGGCCCAATCGAGTAAAGCATTGGAGGAAGGTTCGAGGCAATCCATCGCGATAAAGTCCCTGTCCGGCTCATCGACGTACTCCGGCACCGGCCACTGGGTGTCGTCTCCGGGATCCAACCCGGATGGATCGGAGGGCCCAGAGTAGCGAGGTGTAATCGATTCCAATGTCCTCTCTAGCTGCTGAAGTTCTTGTTGACGCAGCGGTGCGACTACACTGCCATTGTCGACCATATGCTGGAGTATGTGGTTGATGTCGTCCCGCCACCCGTTGTCGGGAAGCAGAGAAGGGCTTATGACCCGGAGGAGATGAAGTAGAAATGCCGAAGAGTACGCATCCTCCAAGTCGAAGGGCATGAAAGATTCTGCAATCGCTCTGGTCAGCTAATGTTGTTCTTGCGTAGATCAAACAAGTAGGAACTACCTAGCAGGTCTCCCTCACTAAGCACAAACAGGGTCCGGAGAGTCGTGCGTGCCGAGTCAACACAGGATCGCAGGATCGACGACATGGGCGGCCGCAGCTCTAGGCTCTCGAACTGTTCGGAGTTTGCGCGCTCTAGATGCAGGTGAAGAGCACACATGACGAGAGGCCTGGTTGTCAATACGACACACTGTGAGTCTCTTGGTCAGCTGCGAAGGGCGCGGTGTCGAATACAATGATCTAAGATTATACATACGTGGTGATACGAAAGCATCAACCTCGAGACTGTTCGAGATGCTCTTGGAATCTGCCCGTCAAAGTGCGTGTCCAAGAGATCATGGAGCTCCGTTGAGATCTGCGCTAGTGTGCGAAGATTCGACTGAATGTGTTTGACAAGAGAGCCGTCGAACTCGTGACCGACACCATATACGGCTGTAAAACGTCAGTGTCTTTTTCCTCCTCTGTTCGGTGGTCTGATGAGCTCACTTGTGAGGATTGTCGCCATTAACCGGGACAATCGCACGTGTAGAGACATGCTCAGAGCCTCCAGAGAGTTACTAGTCAAGCACGGTAGCTTGGCGGTGATCTGCTGGTTATGGATTCCGGCGGTACCACCCATAAGCGCAGAGAACTCGGAATCAATAATGTGAGTAACCCAGAAGATAAGATTATATCGGCGTGAGAGTTCGGGTCCAAAGATGTGTTCCGGCATATGGCGGTGCATTCCTATACACACACAAAGGCGCGACGCCTGCCCAATCTGCGAATACGGTCAGTCGTCTTCAGTCAGGATCTGGCAACTTGGAAGTTTACATATTGGAACGCCGCGACTCTCAGATCGATGGATTGAAGATAGACGGCTGCTAGCACAAGAACTTGCACCGAAAGCAACGAGTCCCCACCCAAGTCGCCTTGCCTAGGCAGCAGCGTCATTGCTCTTTCTGCAAACGCGTGGCCCGGCGGCTTCCCACGAGCGCACCTCCTCCGAAGCACAAACGCTTTTCCGAACGCCAGGATGAGAAGGTGCTGGGCGTACCAGAGCCGACAAGAGGCCGCCTTACGTGCCGGGTTTTCGTAAAACTCATCGAGGTTTTTGAGGTAAGCGCTTTCGTCTATCAAATGGTTTAGTAGGCCAAAGTATGACTTGGCTGCGTAAAACAACGACTTTGAAAAGTCGATGGAGGGCAAGTCGGATACGACTGGGACGTCGCCGCGTTGAGTGCAATGCCACTCCATCTCGCAGGCTTTCCCATCGGTGTTGAAGGGGTCGAGTGTGCTTTCGGTCCCTGGCGACATCGTTCTGCCTAATAATCCAAGGACCCTGCGACAGAACGCCCAAGAGGAAGACGGCGCCATGTACCCTGCAGAGACATTCAATTGACTTTTGGACTTTGAGGAGGCGAGGCGATTGCAGGGGTTCACTTACAGAATCGTCCTTCTGCAGGGCGGAATGGAGGGTCATGCTCTTCAGGACAACTCTTCTTGAGTAATGACTGGATTTCATCGTGATCTGTTGAATCATCGTCCACAGGTCTGCCCAAGGATGATACAGCAGTGTCGACTGAAAGGGGTCTGCCGCCAGTTGCATTTGTTGAGTCTGTCTCCGCTTGATCTAGGATATTTCTCAACTCAGCAATTCGATCAAATCAAGATAGAGCATTGCAAATACTTTGATCAGTGATGCCAGATTCTTCGCGGTTCCTGCTTGGTTGGATCGTCTCCTCTTGGTTTGTGCTGGCTCCTACGGTCCTCAATCGTCTGGCGTTACTTCGCCGTTCCAATGTCGGCAAAATTTCCCTCTCGATTCTCCCAACTTCAACATCAGCTGATAATGGCCTTGGCGTGATTTCGTCTGGTGAACGATGCTCCCCTCTCGTCAGTTGGCGTGATTGTTGGAGTTCCAAAAGGTAACTACAGCACAGGAAACAAGACACGAGGTCAGCACAAAGATGAACTCCGAGATACCAAGAATATTGATTCTATTGGCGGACCTCTCAGGGATGAGAACTCGTTTAATTCCCGGCGCATATACACATGTTTCGCTCTGGCGCTCACACCGAGCGCATGGCTGCCGGCCGGAGCATTTGACTTTCATTGACCGACATCTCTCACACCTAAGGTATGTCTGTCAGCTCGGGTCAGACCTGTATCCGAGACACGTACGCTCTGGAGCATTTCTTGGTGACGCGATGATCATTCCGTGGAGTCGACATGGTCTGTAAGCCTGAAGCGTGGTCAGGACAGTGCTGTATCGGAGGCGCGATCCCGACGTCTTATGTAGCGCACGGGGCAGGCCGCTTTCGGAGGCCGGCACGACGACCCTCGGGACCGGGGGCCCGATATGCGGGAGGCCCCACGATAGCTCCTTATCTACAAACGCGGGGTGGCGGGGTCAACATCCTAGCTGCATCACCATGCGACGCAGTGATCTCGTAATGTGCTACATTTGGGTCGTCTACGCGACAGAGACATGGCACTTGGAGACGAAAATAGCAGGTAATAGCGGCGGCTGCCGACGACAACCCAAGGCATTCAGACATCGTCAATCGTTCTGTTGAGAATGTCCAAGAAACTGAATTCACTGGCTCTAGTTCCAAATACCATTAAGCATCATTCGATGGGTATTGCACCCTCTCCAGAGGAATAAAATCCTCCTTGATAGACCTCACGCTTGTAAAACGCTGCAGGTGCGCCATGGTGCCGGTCTTGTCGTTCGTGCCAGAGTCACGGCTTCCGCCGAATGGTTGTTGAGCAACCAGCGAGCCGGTGCACTTGCTGTTGATATACAGCATTCCTGCAGCATGCTTCAGTGCAGTCTGCGCCTCTCTGGATGCGTATGGATCCTTGGCAAAGATGCTGCCGGTGAGGCCATAACGGGACGTCGTATCCAGGGTCTTCAGCGTCTGCTCCCACTCCTCATCGGGATACACGTACACGCCTAGGATGGGGCCGAACAGCTCGCGAGACATGATATCATGTCGCGGGTTAGAAGTCTTGTACACGGTCGGGTGCACAAAGAACCCCTCAGCTTTGGAAGCCTTGCCGCCCGCGACGAGCTCCAGCTCCGGGTCAATCTTGGCATCCTCAATTACCTTGGCGAGCTTGTCGAACGAGCGCTCGTGGATGACTGGCGTGATGAAGTTGGTAAAGTCCTCCACATCCCCGACCTTAAGCTGCGCGCTCTGCTCTTCCATGTGACGGCGGAACTCGGGCCAGACAGATTCAGCCACGTACGCTCTCGATAGCGCGGAGCACTTTTGACCCTGGTATTCGAACGCCGCACGAACTGCGTGAAATGCGGCGCTCTTGACGTCCGCAGATGGGTGTACGATGGTCCAGTTCTTTCCTCCGGTCTCTCCGACGACGCGAGGGTAGGAGTTGTAAGTGCCCCTGCCGACGTGGTCGCCAATCTTCTTCTGGATGCCCTTGAAGACTTGCGTTGAACCGATGAAGCTCAGACCCGCGAATTCAGGTCGTTTGAGAATGGTGTCCGTCACCTCCTCTGCATCTCCAGGAAGTAGCTGTACCACATCCTTAGGCAAACCGGCTTCCAGGAGGATCTGGTGGAGAAGGTAGGCGGAATGAAGGGCAGAATCCGAAGGCTTCCAAATCACAACGTTTCCAAGCAGCGCAGAGGGCCCGATGAGCGTGGCTCCGAGGGCAGTGAAGTTGAACGGGGCAATGGCGTAGACGAAGCCCTCCAAAGGCCGGTACTCCAGCTTGTTCCACTGCCCTGACGGGTGAACCTTTGGCTGCTGGGAGAAGAGGGACCAAGCCTCCTGGATATAGTAACGGAAGAAATCGACGGTCTCTGTAGGCGCCTCAATCTCCGCCTGCCACACATTCTTGCCTTGGCCTACCATCGTTGACGCAACGATTTCCTGGCGGTATTTGCCGGCAATGAGCTCTGAGGCTCGCAAGAAGATGGCCGCGCGATCTTCAAAGGGGAGAGCCTCCCAGGCTGGTTTGGCCTTGAGAGCAGCATCCACAGCGGCGTTGACTTGCTCCGAGTCTGCAATGGCGTACTCGGCGACTGCTTCGCGGTGCTTGGAGGGGTTCAGCTGCCGGCGTGTTGAACGCGTTTTCACCTGTCTGCGTCAGTCGTCTGTCCAGGACATGGAAGCGAGACTGCGTCTCACCTTGACGCCGTTAATGGTTATCGGGACCTGAACCGGCATCTGGCTTTTCAACTTTCGCAGTGATTCTAGGAGACGTGCCCTCTCTGGAGAGCCTTTGGCGTATTCCAACTACAAGCCCATAGATTAGGATCGATCACTCCCTCCCCTCAAGTAGTATGAGAGACGCACCATCGGTTCATTCTCAAATTTGGGAGGGTGAAGTAGACTCAGAGACCTCCTCCCACGACTCAGGGGCTGAGTGCGTGATGTGCACACTCGCAACACATGACGTCGATAGCTCTGGGAGGTGCAAAAGGTCCTCATACTTGCAATTTTGGAATGAAGTGAGTACTGGAGCACAGAATGGATCTCTGTGCTCGGTCGCTCCTTGGCTTTTCCATGCGATAAGCTGGGCCAAGATGTTGGAGGGCTCGGGAACGCCATCCCGACCCCCATTCTCGCGGGCCCCTCAGCCGCCGATATCCGGCAGATAGCACAGAGGATCACGGGGTGATGCAAGATGGGCTCACATGACGATGAGAAGAAGTGAGGGGTAGCCATGGCAAGATAAGATGTCGGGATGGTATTCCGGGCATTGGAGTTGATAGCGAGCGTAGTGTACGTAACTCAAAAGATGATGAGCAAAGTTCCGGACGTCGTTGTTTATCAGCTAGGTTTCGCCCAGGTTAGTGCGCCCCAAAGAGTACGATTAGACGAACCTTCATACTATCCCCCGCCGTTCTGTTCAACATGCCCCTTGTTACCGTTGCCACAAGGCCAAACGTCAAGGCCGCCAGCATCCTTGGCGTACGCTTCTCCAGTCATGTCCAGTTAGTCAAGCAGAACAGTTGGAACACTGAGAAGAAGCCGCTCACAGCACTCTCTCGACTGCCGACAAAAACGCTCCTTAGATCATTACTCCTGACTTCCTTGATGCGCAGGCGATGGATCTCACGTCCCTCTCTGGCTGCGCTCGATTACATCACCAAGTCAAAGAGCACGCTCCTGAACCCCGACAAGAACCCTGCCCTGAATAAGCTGCTGCGATGGACCATCTACAATCACTTTGCCGCGGGCACATGCCACCAGGAAGTCGTTCGGTCTGCCGCGGAGACCAAGAGCATCGGATATCATGGAGTCATCATGGGCTATGCCAAGGAGTTTGTGCTTGAAAATCCGTCTGTCTCACAGTCCGTCGAGACCAACAATGGGTACCGCCAATGCCACTACCGAGTGGTAGAGGATTGGAAGCAAGGTACTTTGGAAACCCTCCGCATGATTCAGCCTGGAGACTTTCTCGCCGTCAAGTAAGCTTCCTTTCACAGACCTACAAGACTGCATCGCTTACTCTATGGATAGAATCACAGGAGCAGGCGCCATAGCTGTCGATGCCATGATGGCGCGGAAGCCGATGCCCAAAGTCATCTCTGATGCCATGAACGAAATCTGCCTGGAAACGCAACGACAAGGATCCAAACTTTGGATCGATGCTGAGCAGCAAGCCCTGCAGCCCGTCCTGGACAATTGGACAATCGACCTCATGAGGAAGCACAACAAAAGCGGCCAGGCATTGGTATACAACACCATCCAGGCCTACTTGAAAGGCTCAAAGGCAAACACCCATCGCCATATTCAGCTTGCCGCCGAGGAGGGCTGGACCGTCGGCGTCAAGCTGGTTCGCGGTGCCTACATTGAGCACGAGGACCGCTCATTGATTCATGACACGAAAGAAGAGACGGACCGGTCGTATGACCTCCTCGCGGATATCTTCATTGCGCAGAAGATGCCGGATGATTCAGCTCACCTGCAGTTTCCGTCCTCGGCGTTGTTCGTGGCGACGCACAACGGTGCCAGTGCCAACAAGGCGCTGACGACGTACCACCAAAGGATCGAAGACGGGCTTCCCACAGTAGGCAAGCTGGACTGTGGCCAGATTACTGGCATGGCAGACGAACTTAGTTGCCAGCTGCTGCAGACCCTAGAGCAGCGCCCGAGGGGGGCGAAAGACGCGAGTTCGTCTCCTGGGGTTTTCAAATATCTGATTTGGGGATCGGTTTCCGAGTGTCTTGGGTATCTACACCGTAGGGCTATCGAGAACCGGGATGCGGTTGAGCGTACGCAGCACATGGTTGCAGCGCTCAAGAGGGAGCTGCGCCGGCGAGTACTCGGCTAGGATGC